CTGACTGATTTCGTAGATTGTTTAGCTAGAATGTTTGTGTGAATGATGAATTGGAATAGGATGCATCTAGCTCAGGATAGAGTCCGGTGACGGGCTTTTGTGAACACGGTGATGAACCTTCGGGTTCCTTAAAGAAAGTGGGCTATTCTTAGACAAACCGATCAACAATCGACTTTTCAAAAAACATCCTGCACCATCGAGTGAGTGGGACGAAGTGGCAGTGGCCTGTTTTAAAATATCTTTTAAGCCAATCATCGTATATTTCGATGGTTAAGGGACGTTCTCGTCATTCGATGGTTGTGCAGTGCCACGGGATGAAAATAAAAATTGATATTTCATGCTCTTACGGCGACAAGTATGAGAGTATGAATACAGCTGTGTTGTGGTGGCGTGTAGTGTGATAGAGTCAGCAACACCTTTGAAACGTCGCTAAATTTCTTCCAGGCAACACGGCAAAATAACCCAGAAGGTTTTCACACGTTGAAAATCTACTTACAGAGAAGTTCTGTGATAATTTTGAGATATTAATTTTGAATTAATTTCTTGTACGTACGTTGTTTTGATTAGACAAGTCGTACTAGTTAGTAAGGCACTTCTAAATCTTCTATAAGTTTTAAAAGCAAAATCGTGTGATTCATAGTATAAATATTGTGGGACTGTGTTTCTGTAACTGTATATACTTGTTATTGTTCCATTAGCACAACCATAATAAAATAAAATTCGGGCTTTTATAAATATAATCTATTTGCTCTTCTTCACCTTTTACAGATTAAACCTTCTGTCTTCTCATAATTCAGAATTACTTCATACATAGTTAAACCTCTAGAAATTCAACATACCCCCTGGACTGACTAGTAATCAGAATATTGCAGGTTTATGAATGGGCTTATTCTCAAAAGTTGTTTCTTTGTAAGATTATAATGAATTACTGGTAAACGTTTTCACGTTTCGACAAAGACTTTAAACATTACTGTAATATTTATGAATTAATTTTCTAGATTAAAATTGTTGTGGTCGGTAAACTGTTATCATGGTGATACGAGGTGTTGCTAGAAATTACTATTGCAGATTTTGTAAAGCCTATACGTGAGCAAGTTACTGAACCAAAGAACGGCAAATGATTTTGAACATGTTTATATTGAAAGTAAAGATCTCATGGGAAGTGAAAATTGAATTGTGATTCGAACTGCTAAAAGTACGGGTATTTTGGGTGATTCAATTTGTGTAGAGCAGATAATGTCTTTGCAAGAAATTATACAGGGATGTTACGTATTTCCGTTTCTTCATAAAGGACTTAATGTACCACATGCGGTCTGACAATAAGATTGAAGACCTGATTCAAAACTTGTTTTTGCGCTGGCGTTTATAGCTTGTAGGCTAGTATACCAGGGATTATTTCAATATTCCGCTGTACGTTGTCAAGAGAAACATTGAACGTGCCATACTTAAACAAAACACACCACAGAGAAACGCAGATATACATCTGAAGATAACTATCTTCTGGGTTGTTGCGCCCTGTAGTCTGGTAGAAGTTTACCGACGTTTCAAAGGTCCTTGCTGCCTCCATCATCAGGGCGATGAGTGACATATATACATCCATTATTACTAGCGGAATTCGAACGGGTGATGCCAGTGTTCGAGCGATTCAAGACCGCATGAGACTTTGAACCGTTTAGCCACTGTAATTAGTCTTGTTTGTTTATAAACACATTTATTTATTCATATATTTATGTACTTCTTATTTATCGATTTAGTTATGCGTTTATTTATTGAGAGTTTAATAATGCATTTGTTTACTCGTTACGTTGTTTTTATTAAATTTACTCATTCGCCTACTCATCTACCTATTAATTAACTCGTTTACTAATTCATTTGGTAAATAAATTGTTTATTCATGCATATAATGATAAATTTACTCCATTTATTTATTCATGCATTTATTCCGTTACACACAAGCCTCGAAGGGAGGAGACACTGTTCCCTCGTCAAGACGTCATGCGCTTGTGGTTCAAGTTTTGAGGTCAGTTTGCAGTTGTCTTTCTGAGTGACAGGCGCTTACTAATGGAACGATCGTGTTTTTGTTCTGGTCAGCGCTTACTGTAAAGTGTCTGTTTTCTATACTGTTTTGGCTAACAGTGTTGTACATGCGTAATGCGACATTCCTTTGTATCAGCATCTCAGACACTTCTAATGAAAGGGAAATATAGGAAGAAACTTTTTCTGTAAAATGCTCTTCCACTCCAATAATCATCACCGTCAAACCTAACTCACCACATACTGCATGCCATATATAAGGCTTCGAAAAGGGCCCAACCATTACACACCCTGAGGATGGCAGTTGCATTGTTTGCCGAAACGTTTGGATAATTCTCAGCATTTCACACTGCCCATCCTCGAAAGTCGAAGTTACAAAAAACATTCCTTTGTTGTTTCCCTCACACATGTCCTGCCCTTTCATCTTTCAGTGCTTCTGATATTTTTATTTCAAATAAATTGTTGATACCAGTTGTGTGGTTTTTTGTAATTTATCAATAGAATTTTTATCATTGTTCATCCTATTGAAATTTCAGTCTATAGGTAAAACAAGGTCTTTTCACTAAATATTAAAATAAAAGAATTTCTACTTTCCTACGAATCTTTTTTACTTCTTGTTTTTTCTTCGCTTTGAATCATTTCCAGCCTTCTGATTGAATTATTTTGTTACAGAATGACAATATTATCATTTCAC